GATATAGAGGGATAATTACTGAATGCTGTTTCATTTAATTAAAATTGGGAGGATTATATTTACTTAAAGGTGGTATTTGAGTGTTGAATGTCTTTTACTTCAGAGCATTTGTATAACTTTTGAATTCAGCTGGTTCATACTATAGAGATTTATGCGGTAAATAAAGCCATAAGGTCCAAATCAGTCTTTCTTAAACTTAAATTGTTTAGTTTGCAGCGTCTTGTTTAAATTAGCATGCAGGCTTGAGCAAAAGAGGAGCAGAGAGACACAATGTGAAAAATAACAAGGGAGAGGAAGCAGCATCTTGGGTAGAAAGGAAAAAACACTCACACAGAGGTTATGGGTGGAAGGGTCAAATGGGTTTTTAAAAGAGCTTTTTGAAAATGTGATACCAAAACATCTTTTTTGGAGTGCAAGCATAGCCATGAGCTGAGGTACTGTATCTCAAACAGGCAGGTGAGGGCTTACTGTGTCCTGTCTGCATCACTGCATGGACTGTACTGTTGATTAACATGCGTGTACCATGTACATGTGTGTGTTCGGGTGTAACCAGTAACTTAATTTTTCATTTCCTGTTAATATCCCGGTCCTGTGACAACACAGCTTTGTGTACCTGCCATATTGTTTACATCAACGTATGGGTGTGTGTTTTTTTTTTTTTTTGTTAGTGTGTATCTGTGTGTATTTGTGTGTGCCCATGTGTTGGTGCAGGAGTGCAGCCTAAACAGAGTTGCTTTTAAAATCGGAGGCAGCCAATGCCACACTTTTCAAACAGTGTTTCAGTGCTAATAAGTCACACATTTTTATGTGAATGACTGCAGATCTCATGTCTTGTAAATGTTAGAGATATAGATACTAAATCAGAATCTTAGAGAATAAAGTAACACTGGCCTTTTTTGACAGGAGAGGCTGATGACTCCTGTGCTAGTATAGAAACAGTGGAAAAAGAGACAGAAGCCACCGCTGTAGAGGAAGAAGAACAGGAAGAACAGGAAGTGCAGGAGGAAGCACCAACAGAAAAGGAGGAAGAGGTTGAGGAGCATGAGCAGGAACCGGAAAAGGAGAGAGAAGAGGTGGAGGAGGACAGTGGCATCCTAAGTGACAAGGAACGACAGAATGAGGAAGTAAATGAGAAGGACAACTGCTCGGCCTCCAGCATTTCCTCCGCCAGCAGCACTCTGGAGAGAGAGGAAAGGGGGAGCGCTGAGAATGGTGGGTAGGCTTCAGTGCAAAACTTTTTCAGGTCAGCCTCCAAGTTTTGTTTCACTGAATTTCATTCCGTTTCTTTGAAACAAAAGGAATGATCTGTTGTATTATGGCATCTTGTGTTGGAAACAGTAATTTTCTAAAGATGATTTCTCTTCTGATACAATTAGCCAATCCCAGCTGACAGTGGGCAAGAGGTGGTGTATACACTGAACAGGTCGCCAGTCTACCACTTAGCTAGCTTCTAAACTAGCCAACCTAAGCGAATTATATTTGGTAGTTAGCAAGAACTTCTGCAACACAAGTGCTTAAGTGGTGCAAGTGTATGTTGTCACTCAAAAATTCAGATGAACCTAGAAAATAGTGAGTTTTATTCCTAAACAATCTGGAAGCAAGCACAACACAGTGCAGGTACAGAAAACAGGAAATGAGTATGGTTTACCGTAGAGGCAGGAAACAGCAGTTTGTCAAAAGTTCCGGTTCTTTCTGCCTAAAACACACAGAGAGAGTCAATGTATGACAATGTAGACAAACAACCACATTCACTCCTACAATTTAGAGTTTGATAGTAAACCTAAGCTGCATGTCTTTGGACTGTGGGAGGAAGCCAGAGTACCTGGAGAGAACCCTCGCAGGCACAGGAAGAACATACAAACTCCTCAGAGAAAGGTCCCAGGTCAGCCTCCAAGTTTTGTTTCACTGAATTTCATTCCGTTTCTTTGAAACAAAAGGAATGATCTGTTGTATTATGGCATCTTGTGCTGGAAACAGTAATTTTCTAAAGATGATTTCTCTTCTGATACCAGGGTTCAAACTCGGTATCTTCTGCCAGGTGACAGCGCTAACCACTCTGCCTCAAAATGAATATTGATTGGGATCATTTTTATTATGCATAGTACACAGTACACCCCCCCCCATAAAGAGACATAGAGAAACATGCCCACTTCACAGTGGTCAGGTTAGGTGTACTGTATGTTGGACCCCTACACATCTACCATCTCTACAGTGGTAATGATTTTATATAGTTTTTCTCTTCTTAACCCATCACTCTCTTCCTCAGGCTTTAAAGAAGCAGAGGTGAATGAGCAGTGCAGCAAACTCCTCAACAGCAAACTCATCATGCTGGACATGCTCTTCTCCCAGAGCAAGAAGCCTGGTGATGAAGAGGAGGAGGAGGAAGATGCAGAGAGGGAGAAAGAAAACAGAGAAGGGGAAAACAAAGAAACTGAGGAGGCTGCTGACAGGCAGCTGGGCAGTGACCAGGTGAGCGACAACAGGCCTGATAAATCAGAGCACCATGGCAGCATCCGCCCGCTTGCAGAAAGATTTGGAGACTTGATCAAGGACATTGGTTCACCTCTCCCTTGCCCAGATGGCCCAGTCAGTGAGCCCCCTCCTCCCCCACCCAAAAAGGAATCGGACACGATCTGGGACCAGCTCCTGGCCAGCCCTCGAGAGCTGTGCATTGGGGACATCAACTTCACTGACCTCACGGAGGACGATGACACGGACATTCTGGATGCGGTTTTGATGGGAGGATGTGGTGACCTCCCACCCCCACCTCCTCCTCCACCCTGCATCCCCTGCTTCCCTCCACCCCCACCAATGCCAGGCAGTTGCCCCCCACCACCTCCCTTGATTGGGATTATGAGGCCTCCTCCTCCACCTTCTTTTAGTGTCTCCATTCCAGTGCCTCCTCCCCCAGAGCCGCCTCTATTCAGCAAGAAGAAGAAGACAATCAGGCTTTTTTGGAGCGAGGTACATCAACACACAAACAGCAGTTTCATTAACTGGGTACAACTAAGGCTTTTTGGAAGTGTTACTGTTTCTATGCGGCTTTACACATACATTTATCCAGAAAGTGATCCCTAGAGGTGGAGTGTCACACAACTGTTTAAATAAATATTTTTGCCAATATGGCAATATGGCTGGGCAGAAGATCCTGCAGGACAAGATGAAGATTTCATTAAAGAATGCATATGTCCATTAGCTAATTATGTTTAAAAAGAAGTCACTGAAACAATGACTCATCAGCATGTTCCATTTGTTGCTATTATTTGTTGTTCTTTCTCTCTCATTAGCATATTTTATTGTAGGAAATGAGAGTCTTAACACATGTCTCTACTTAATGCAGTCCATTCTTGTTGTGTCTGTGATCAGGTGCGTCTGACAGACTCCCAGTACAGGGACTACAAGTGGAGTGGAGACTCATTCTGGTCCAAACTGGAAACAGTAAAGTTGGACACAGCTAAACTGGAACACCTGTTTGAGTCAAAGTCAAAAGAAATACCAGTTACAAAGGTAAACAACCGGTGCATGATCAGCGCTTAGAGAAGTTGGAGACACTGCTCTACAGTCAAATATTGAACATTGTTCACTACAATGAAATCTAATAGAATAGAATGCTGTTAGTTAATTTTTCTTTTTTGTTTACTGTTCATCAATCATATACAGTCAATTCAGGAATTGTAACCAGACATCACAAACACCTTGTTGCCAGCCACACAGTCTGTAGTTTTCGTGGCTACTATCTCCAGTACCAGAGAGCCTACAGTATGTTCTAGGGGTTAAACGAGGTCATGTGTGTTCTGATCCTGATCAAACTGGGGAGTGTTGAATGCTTTGCAATTCTCACAAAGCCTCTAAATAAGAAAAACATGGTCTCCAGGCATCTCATACTTTGAACTCCTGGGCCACAGTTTCAGAAACTTCTGAAACCCAGTAAGTAAGCCCAACCAGTCAGCTTGTCTCAGCTTCTGGTCTGCACTTAATGTGAAAGTATGACGGAGGCCGGCAGCTAAAGTATCAGGAGCAAAACGAGGCCTTCAGCATACCAAAACCGATATAGGTCAGAGGTAACATTGCTCCTTTGTTGTTATCTTTTGGTTACATGGTCTTCTTACCCTACCCATCAAAATGTTATGTGTTTTAGATGTTGAAGATTAGAGATTGTAAGATTAAAACCCATTTTTCATGGTTTTTCACATACAGTATATGGTTGGTGTGCATTTTTTTGTGGCATGCATTTCATAGTTAGCTTTTCAACAGTAAGCTTTAAAAGTTTGCCCCTTTTTACCACTAGCCACTGGTTAATTTACAGTAGTTTGCATTAATGGCCAAAAACTTTCCAACAGTTGCAAGTATGATGATTTATTTGAATCAACAATTACAACATATTTTTGTCAGTGAAAGGTGTTCTTTTTTCACCCTAACAACCTGTGGGAAGTGTGCTAAAAGTCTTACCAATCATAATCGCATAAACTGCAAATGGAGCAGCTCAGTAGCAGGCAGAGCTGTATTGTAATGTACCTTAACCAACCACAGTATCACTGATTATCTCACTAGAATGGCACCATCCTGTCAAAGGGTGGGATATACTAGGCAGCAAATGAACAGTTCTTAAAGTTGATGTGTTGCAAGCAGGAGAAATGGACAAGTGTACAGATCTGAGTGTTCCTGGTCTGCAGTGGTCAATAGCTTCCAAAAATGGTCCAAGGAAGGACAACCACTATAATGGAAACAGGGTCACGGGCACCCAAGACTCATTGATGCACATGGGGAGCGAAGACCATGTTTTCTGATCCCACAGAAAAGTTAATGTAGCACACATTGCTGGAAACATTGCTGGTTCTGATAGACAGGTGTCAGAGCACAGTGCATCGCAGCTCACTGCTATTATGCCTGCAATAGGCACATGAGCATCAGAACTTGACCATGGAGCAATGGAAGAAGGAGATCTGGTCTGATGAATCATGTTTTCTCTTACATGGATGGCCGGTGCATGTGCATCATTTACCTGGGGAAGAGATGGCATCAGGATGCACTATGGGAAGAAGACAAGTGTGATGCTTTGGGTAATGATCTGCTGGGAAACCTTGGGTCCTGCCATTCATATGGATGTTACTATGGCATTTACCCTCTATCTTAACATTGTTGCAGACCAAGTACACCCCTTGATGTTAACAGTATTCCCTAATGGCCTCTGTCAGCAGGATAATGCACCCTGCCACACTGCAAAAATAGTTCAGAAATTGTTTGAGGAGCATGACATTCCATAGAGCTCAATCCAATCAATCATCTGTGGGATGTGCTTGATAAAAACTAATCCAGTCCACAGAGGCCCCACCTAGGGACTTACAGGACTTAAAGGATCTGCTGCTGACGTCTTGAGGTCAGATACCAAAGGACACCTTCAGAGGTCTTGTGGAGTCCATGCCTTGCTGGGTCAGAGCCCTGTGTTAAGTAGGCGGTTTAATTGTTGTGGACTTGAGGCTATTATAAGCTATATTAAAGGAAGGAAGTCATAATATTTCACTGCATATAATGTTTAACATACTAGGTGCTAAGATCTGGCCATTGTCACTAGGAAATTCTATAGCCATATAATGATATTTCCTGCTCTTACTAACCATATAATTGTCACTAGGAAATTCTATAGCCATACGGTTCCACAGCTGCAGTCAATGTAACCTGAGTAATGATCCCTCTAATCCTTACAACCCCATAAGGGGAACACACTGACAAGAGAGAAAGAGGCAAAGGAAGACCCAGCAGTGACCCTATCTGTGTTTCTGTGTCCTAGAAAACAGCAGCAGACGGCAAGCGTCAGGAGATCATTGTTTTGGATTCCAAGAGGAGTAACGCCATTAACATCGGCCTGACAGTGCTGCCTCCACCTCGCACGATCAAGACGGCCATCCTTAACTTTGATGAGTATGCACTCAATAAGGAGGGTATAGAGGTAAGTGATACAGATACAGGTGAAAAGGAAGAAAGTTCTTTTCATCAATAGCCTTTCATTTGTATATGACACCTACCATCCATATTGCCTTCCTCCCTCATCTCATGCTGTCCTTGCCCTCAGAAAATCCTGACAATGATTCCCACAGAAGAGGAGAAGCAGAAGATCCAGGAGGCCCAGCTGGCTAACCCTGACGTCCCACTGGGCTCAGCAGAGCAGTTCCTCCTCATTCTGTCCTCCATCAGCGAGCTCTCTGCCAGACTCCAGCTCTGGGCCTTCAAGATGGACTACGAGGCTACAGAGAAGGTCTGTTTAAACATGGGACAGCACTTCTAACAATTAAAACTGTTAAAAAAACGGAATTCAGACTATAGAGGAGGGAAGGCCAAACCAAAGCCATAATGAAATGCACATTTAAAATCATAGTGAATGTGGTTTTATTAAAACACAAGCAGACAAAGCTAAATGGACCCATTGCCATGAAAGGTTGAGTAAATGTGGACAGAATGGGTACAATTGTGTGTGTGTGTGTGTGTGTCTCATGCCTGTGTCAGTAAGTATCAACACTCCTTTAGTATAAACAACAGCCACAAAACATCAACATACGTAGTTACATCATAATTTCAAAATATGCACGCTTATTAGCAACACCTTGTCGTCTTCTTCCAGCGCATCATGTTTTACTCGAGTAAAGAATGCATCCAGGAGAAGTTCAAAGTCAAAACCCACAGAATGAAAAAGAGCACCCCTTCATTACTGTCCTGCAAATTTTACATTTTTTTTCAGGATGCAATTGTCTATAATCTCATCGTGAAAGGCATGATTTTGACTGCAAGTTTGGCAGAGTGGAATTCCTGACTCAACACTGTGAGACAGTTTGGTAGTAGGAGGCTTAATGGAGGGCAACATACTGTGCAGGCACAAGAGAACCTGCTGCACTAAAACAGTGTTCATGTAATCAGAAGCACATTTCATAGCAACTTTTAAACATTCTCTCATGACCTCAAACAAGAGCAGACAATATGTGGTAGAAGACAAGCTGCATCCAGTTACTATTTCTCCACCTGTAGACTAATGAAACTGATGTTTTGGGGAGTTTTAATTGATGTTGTGTGTGTCTTCCTCCATCCAGGAAGTAGCAGAGCCACTGCAGGATCTGAAAGAGGGTATGGAGCAGCTGGAGAAGAACAAAACTCTATGTTACATCCTCTCCACGTTGCTCTCAATTGGAAACTTCCTCAATGGCACCAGTGTGAGTCATGATCATTACGGGTTCATCATACTGGGATGTAATGACAAGATTTCTTTGTTGTTTTTCTGTTGCAGGATTAGTAATTATAGAGACAATGAGTGATTTTAATGGAGTGTGAATATGCCATGTCTGTAATTTGTAGATTAAAGATTACATCTCATATTAGCAACTATAATTTGGAGAGGTCAGACATACGTTACAATAACACTACTTCAGCCATTACTAGCTAGATCGTGACTTTTGTGTTGTTTTTGCTTTATTTTAGAAGTAACTGTATGTATGTATGTTTTCTGTGGGAGTTGGTTATCTCATGAAGAAGCACAAAGTAGTCCAAATTAGGTTTTTTACTTTTGTAAATAATCAGTGTGTTCATGTGTCCAGGCTAAAGGCTTTGAGTTGACGTATTTGGAGAAGGTCCCAGAGGTGAAGGACACAGTCCACAAACAGTCTCTTCTGCATCATGCCTGCTCTGTGGTGGTGGAGAACTTCCCTCAGAGCACAGACCTTTACTCAGAGATTGGAGCCATCACACGATCTGCAAAAGTATGCTCCACAGCCACTATTAGAAAGCTTGTGTACATATTGTTTTGAATCCCTGGCTTAGAAATGCAAGTTCTCCTGCTACCTTATACATATAAGTCACAGTAACTGTTGTCTTATGAGTTACTGTAATGTAAAACCAGTTGAGTTATGCTTACCGAATTTGACAAAATAAGTACAATTTAAGTCCAGTCAACCTAACACAGTACAGTCAGATTTTACAGATTAGGGTTAGGGATTGGAAGCGGGTACTAACCTTCACAGTGATTAGCATTGTTTCCATTACTATCAGAGGACACAATACTATGGAAAGCTTTAAAAGAGGGTTACGGAATAGAAACTAAGACAAGGTTGTGTATTTTGTTCTGGATGCAGGTTCTCCTCCAAGCCCTTTAGTTGTGTTAACATCTCTTCCATCAGGTGGATTTTGACCAGCTGCAGGAGAACCTGTGTCAGATGGAGCGCCGATGCAAAGCTTCATGGGACCATCTGAAGGTGATTGCCAAGCATGAGGTGAAGCCTCATTTGAAGCAGAAGATGTCTGACTTCCTCAAAGATTGTGCTGAGAGAATTATCATCCTCAAGATCGTTCACCGCAGAATCATCAACAGGTAGTTCCCCTCACAAAATTTTTATCCATGTTTTATTATATTACATATCTATTTTACAGTACAATATTACCCAAACAATTCTATAAATCTAGTTCAAACTAAATTGTACAATATAAAAAAATTAAAACTGTACATTAAAATACTAATGTGTTTTTATCTGCTAGTTATTAGATCAAAATAGTTAAAGTATGTGAGATTCACATTAAAGAAAGAGGATGTGTTCTGCATAAACACATTCTCAATCCTCTCATTTCCTCCCAGGTTCCACTCATTCCTGTTGTTCCTCGGTCACCCAGGCTACAGTGTGAGGGAGATAAGTGTCCACAGGTTCTGTAAAATCCTCAGCGAGTTTGCACTGGAGTACCGAACCACAAGAGAACGCGTGCTGCAGCAAAAACAAAAGCAGGCCGACCACCGCGAGCGCAACAAGACCCGAGGAAAGATGATCGTGGACGTCAGCATTCCAGTGAGTATCACACAAACATGATCCCTTCTGCAGAAACACACTCAGACTTTGAACTCTGTTTTATAGCTCTTCTTTTTCCAAATCTAGTATTGCTTTCTTTTTTGTTTTCTCCATTTTCTTTGATCTATTCTTTTACTTTCACTGTGTTCTTCCTTTGTAGTCTGATGATGAAGAGGAGCGTGAGGTATCAACACACTGTCTGCCTGCTTGTCTGTGTGTTTGTGTGTGCATGAAACCACCAACTGTAACTAGATCATTTCACCTCAAAGTTTCCTTCTCACTGCACATCTGAGTGGATGAGTCACTAAGATCAGTAGGGATTGTCATCGTTACAATTTTGATGTTTTCCATGATGAGTAAGGCTTGGCATGTTTGAGTTAAAGCCCAAAACACTCCAAACATAAGCTGCCAAATTCTTATCTTGTGTCCTTCTGTTTCTCTCCTTCAGAGTGGTCAGTATGGCTCCAGCAGCAACAACAGCGCACCTAGTGGCAGCCAGGAGAGCAAGCAGCCTCAGGGCCTGGACCATGCTGAGGATGCTGCAGAGCATGAGCACATGAAAGCAGTGTTGAGAACAAGCCTCAGCGGTAGCGAAAAGGAAGTACCTGGGGTACCAGGACTTCGGACACGGACCAGATCCCGCCCTGGGCGAGGAGGTGAGGGTGACCAGAAGTTTCTTACAGGGTCTCCTTTGAGAGGTTCTTTGTACATGTATAACCATTTGTCCATCTGCTCAACTGGATCAGGTCACAGTATGCAGTCATGGACACCAGCTGTAGAAGACACTCAGATTGGTGGAGATGACGCTGCAGATGAGATCATGGAACGTATCGTGAGGTCGGCCACTCAGGGTCCAGGAACCAGAGCTCAACCCAGAGAAAGAAGGAGGTCCAGGGCTAACCGCAAGTCATGTATGACCTGAATGCTTTAAACTCTGTTCCAAATCCATACTAGATACCAAGCCTCAGCAGTTTAATATGTAGTGTGTTCTCAGTGGAAAATTGACTAAATTAAGTACATCCTTGTTTTTATGCCTTTGCAATGGCGATAGCTGCAGCAAGAGGCATTATGTTTTCTGGTTGTCTGTATGTCCGTTCATATGATTCTTCTGAATGCGATATGTCAGGATCTTAAGGGAGTTTCCTCAAATTTGACACAAATGTCCAGTTGGACTCAAGGATGAACTGAATAGATTTTGGTAATCAAAGGTCAAGGTCAGCGATCTCAGTTCTGCCCATACCCATGAATTTGACTGAAAGAGTCTAATGAAACATGCTATTTGGCGGTTTTATGGGAAGTGTAGGATGCAGTGTTCTTCTTTTTTTCTTTTTTAGAAATCCTCATACAAGAGTAGTGCAGGACATAAAATCAGTTTCATAAGTCTAGGTTTGAGTAACTTCTTGAACATAACAAGATCAGAGTAGTTGTGAAAGTGTCTGGTGGAAGTAGAATTGACATGTTATTCAAGTTATTGTATAATAATTTTGTATACTAACCGCAAAACAGTATGCTATAAACAGTTAAGAACAATAATTGAACATCTCATAACTAATCTACTAATCTCTTGACTTTCCCACAGTACGGCGGACTCTGAAGAACGGGCTGACCCCAGAAGAGGCTCTTGCTTTAGGACTAACAGATTCTCCAGATACACAGATGTGATTCTCCACATCTTTGCTGTGGAAATGCAACCACAAACATTGATGCAACATCTCTGTCAGCCACCTGCCTTTGCCACACTTTACAATTTGCTCTAGTCACATGCTCCTTTAGGTTTTGCCAGCTGTTTATTTCAGGTGATGAAGCTGCAGCCATGATAGTGTTTTCTTTAATGCAACACAATGAAAGAATATTTCAGAAAAAAAGTGGAAGTGAAGAAAGAGAATCAGTTACATAAAGACTGATTTCTTCAGCTTGACAAGAAGGAAAAGACAAAATTCAGTGATGCTGCCTTTACACTGAATTGAAATTTGTTTTATTTATATAAACATATTTTAGATGCTGCATTAGTCCATCCATCCATCCATCCATCCATTTTCCTCCGCTTATCCAGAACCAGGTCACGGGGGCAGCAGTCTAAGCAAAGATGCCCAGACTTCCCTTTCTCCAGACACTTCCTCCAGCTCCTCCGGG